TTCAGAGCTGCCTTCAAAGCCTTATCATAACATTTGAGAACCTAAGATTAACTTCATGCTATGGAAATCCTCTGCAATTTTAGGGAGGAATGTTGGGATACTTGTTTTAAAATACTATATTGGATTCAGACTTAGTGACACTTAAGACAGACCTGTTCAATGGGAGTTAAATCAATAGTGACTAAGAGGCTTTGCACACGGTGGAAGATTGGGGCCAAGGCTGCCCCACGTCTCGACCCCAATCCACCTTTTTGGAGCCTGGGAAAGGAGCGCTAAAATAGTGCTTCTTCCTCAAGCCCCAGAAAGGGTGCTGGAAGAACTGTCGCGTGTCTCTTCCACGTCTCTTCCAGGTCAACCTGTGCAGAGGCTGGGCTGGGAGGACGTTATCAAAGTGCTCACCATGTAATGGTGGGCACTCTGATGATGTCCTCGGGAAGGGGTTGGGGCATCCAGAATCCGGCTGCCCCTCCCCTTTCCTGGCTCCAAGACGGCGCTTTTTGCCATCTGCAGAGCCCCAAACTTGTCTCATTGATTTTTAGAGGTCTCTGCAGTCATGCTGGCCACATGATCATAGAGTAGTCTCTGCCAACACTGGTTCTTCAGCTTAGTAACTGAGATGAGCACCGCTCCCTACAGTCAGACACAACTTGATAGCCTTGTCAGTGGGGAATATATTTACCTTTTAGCTTTGCTCAAGGAGTGGTATTCTGTGCCAGAACTAGAAGTAGTTTAGACTTCCTCAAGAATTTGTTTGGTGTTGAATGCTGACACACATTGCTATAGGATAAGGCTTATTGGTGGTAAGCATTATAGCAGATGTATACAACAGAGAAGCATTCTACCCTTTTCACTGATAGGCTCCAGTATCCCCTTACAGACAATGGTAAAATTGCACCCCTAAACAACTAATTCTACTCATACTATCTGTGGTTGGTGAACAGAGTCTTCATTGATGGCTAAATGGATTTCCCAGACTGGTGTGTAGCCCCAAAGTTGATGGAAGATGGCTTCCCAAGGATTCCCAGAAGCAAACAAAGTCAAAGTAATTATGAATGACCCAACCCAACAATAGCTATAAAAACTGTGCAAGCAGGTTAGTAACAGGTTAGTAACATTCCCTTCATCTATTTTAAGCTTTCATATCTTTTCCCAGCCTCAAAATGCCAATAATGCAAAAAGTTGGAGCTGTTTCAGAGAAGGGCAACAAAGATGATAAGAGGTATGGAATACAAAATATATGAGGAAAGGCTAAAGGGGTTGAGCTTGTTCATTTTCATTAATCTGTGTTCCTTTTTTTTAAAAAAAAAATCATAACTTTTTATGCACGGTATCGAAATTTAGTCCAAAAATATACAAGTTTTGCAAAATATGTATTTCAAATGTGTTTTTAAGCCAAAAGGTGCATCCTAAAATTCAGAGGATTACAGAATCAAAAGAACTGTGTGTTTCAGTTGACACATTAGTTCAGCAGGTGTGAATTGGGTTAGGCCATTTCCAAATGTGGACTGAATACAATCTTCAGTCTTTCCTTGATTTACCAGGAAACAGTCCCTTTCAAACTGGGACATTTGGAGTGTATGGGGATGGGGTGGAATGGAAGGGAGGTTCTTACCTAACAAAGCATGTGTTGTTTCTCTTTTTTTCTTTCCACTGACTTATTAGATGCATTGTCTTCTTCTTACATGTGCACCTGTGGGCTTGGTATGCTACAAAAAGGACTGTACCAAGGTTAATCCTAATGGCTACATTATGCAAATTCAAATTAAAAATATTTTCTTAATAGAAGATGCATAAATTATTCCCAGTAGGCCCACAAGTGACAATAAATTTCACGCTCCTGGAAATTAACATGGCCCACTTTTAGTACCTTGCTGTTCCATTACAAAGGATGCATTATTCATTTCATTATTACAAAGGATGTGCTCTCCTTTCTAGTTTCTTTAACAGAAAGGACATTTGGGCTGCAAGGCTACCTTCCCTAGGGAAAACATCCCAAGGGACACAGGATATAAGAACTCCTTGTCTGTGGAGAGGGAAGTCTGTGGGTGGAGAAGGTGGACAATCCTCAAAAACTTGCCCTGTGAGTAGTGGTAAGGTCTGCCGACATTGTTCTTTGGCTTTTGGATCTCCATTAGCAGAAACCACCAAAAGCAAGCATGATATGTTGGAATATTTATACTGACACTGTGCGGTAACTTAGTGCTGAGCTTGTGACTATTGAAGAGGAGTAAATACTCAGGAAACTGGTAATTAGGCCAAAAGGAAAAAAAACTTACACTTTATTGTTTCAGGAAATCTATCCAGGGTACAGGAGGAGGAGAGACCCCTAACTTAATTATAGAAGTCCCCTAGAGCTGGCTTCCATGTGTGAGTATCCTGGCAGCCATTACACAGACCCATGTGTAGCTACTCTTCTCACAAAGGAAAACAAAAATTGCTAAACATTGGAGGAAAATGGAAGAATGAAGTGAGCCTGAGAGTGGCAATCTAAAGATCAATGTATGATGCTTGGAGCGGACAAAGATGCATGATTTCAGCTGGCCGTTAATTTGTCCATCATCCTCCATTCATTCAGGTTACTTGTAACATATTTGTTTTATTTTCTCCTTCTGGAGCTGGAATGGGGAAGGTTTGGGATTGAGTAGAAATCTTGCTGTTCCTCCTACAGGGTGCACAGCCTTCCCCATTTCACACTCATTCCAGAGGTGGCATAATTTATTCCAATTTGGGAAATGTGCAAAACAGGGATATGAAGAATATTCATAAAAAAATATCAGTGAGAGAAGCGGATGACATGTTGAGACAGCCTATTGAGAACTGGAAACCTCTATGAGATTTGAAAAAAAGGAGGTCTTCCTTCTGTTTTTTCTCTAATTTGAGCAAAACTTTCTCACCAAACGACTGTCTTTTTCTTTAGTGATATAGCAATTGCAGCAAAATTGATTAGCTAAAGAAAAACACAAAACACCAGTGCCAGCTTATAGGTCCCATGTCCATAAGACAGTGAATCTACTACAGGTTTTCATGTAGGGTTTTTTTTAGTGCTGAGCTCCATTCCTCAAAATAGATACAGTATTTTGCATAGGTCTTGTAACCTTTTCTAAAATCTGGAATAGATTTACTGCCCCATGACATGGATACCACCAGTTGCTGTTGCAAACAACTTATTCAATACTTCCAGTTGTTAAGATGCAGTGTGGCAGCAGGTATTTTAAGTTTATGTAACTGTGTAATTTTTGTAAACACACTAATGCAAAAACAACAACAACAACAACCCAAAAACCTGAAGAAAATGATAGCAAAAATCTTGTCTTCTTGTGAGCAAAGGCAAAAATTTTGTGATTTTTCATTCTTATGTATTAGGGATGGAAAGGATGTTCAAAAATATTTCAAAAATGAGAAATTTTATCAATTTTATTCTCGGACTGACGAGACTTTTTGTAGTTCAAGACTTATTCCGTGTAAAGTTTGCATATGGGGTTTTTGAATAGAAAGTAGCATTTTCTGTGCAGAAGACAATATTTCTACAAAGAAACATTGTTTCCTGTGCAGAAAATGCTGTAATTGTGAATTTATTCTGTGCACAATTCGCAGGTCCTGTAACCTTTTCTAAAACCTGGAATAGATTCACTGCCCGAGTGACATGGATACCACCAGTTGCCATTGCAAACAATTTATTCAATACTTATTCAAAAAGAATATTTTCTGCATAGGGAACAGCATTTTTTTT